TATATATATATATATATATATATACATGTATATATATATATATATATATATACTTTCAAAGCATTCTTAAATCTATTGAAATTTATTGTTTCCAAGCAAAAATTTCTGCTTCTCCTTATATATGCAAATATGAAGATAAAGTGACACAGTGTTGATGAAAGTAGTCTTAATACGACTTGATAAACAGCAGCACATGACTTTATCTTTGTAGGTTTTGATGTGAGTGGTTGGCAATAAAATTAGAAAGAAAGGGAAAAAGAGGTTAATCAAGAGCATAAAATTAAAGGAAGTAATGATATGAATTCCATGGAAACTGTATTGTTTACATTAGTTTTATATTTATATTTCTGGTTGCCATAAGAAGAGTCTTGTCACTTGATACACAGCTTCTGTGTTCAAAGATAATTCTAAAGTGTGTGTCTCCAACTGTAGAGAAATTAAATTAGCCAGGGAAAGATAATGGCAGTTGAGGAAAACAGAGTAAAAACAACCAATGTTATTAGGGTATTGTTTGGCCAAGTGGCTACAGGTACTTTGAACTTGAAAGTGCTAAATTCATGTAATTTTCAGAATATATGTGCACATGTATATGGATGTATTCATGCAAATATATATGCTTATAAAAGCTTGTATAAAATGAAGTTTCAAAAATTCCTCAGACAAGCTTCTCCCTGCTAAGTCTTTTAAGGGGAGATTTGCCCTTTGAGTTGGCCACAAGTGACTAGGTGCCTGGTGGGATGTGCACCCTGTCCCTTGGGCCACTTCTCGCCAACTCTTCACATCTGTCTTTTGTAAGATAACTGGTCCTCAGTTTAAAGAAGGCAAGGGCACGCATTTCTGCTGATTTCAGCCTCTCCTGCCTTTTGTTTTAGATGGTTCAGACGTTTTCCCGGTGCATCTTGTGTTCGAAGGATGAAGTAGACTTAGATGAGTTGCTAGCTGCTCGGTTGGTGACATTTCTGATGGACAATTACCAGGAGATTCTGAAAGTTCCTCTGGCCCTGCAGACCTCCATAGAAGAGCGTGTGGCTCATCTGCGAAGAGTCCAGGTAAGTTGATACATGGTCAGTTCTGTAAAATTGACAGCCTCCTTCTGACGTCTGTAATAAGGATTAAGTGAATTGGTGTGAGCCATGTGCTTACAATAGGTCTTGTCATGTTCTACACACTGCATGAGTCTGCTGTTACCATGGATAACCATGGGATGCATGTCTAGTGTATTATATCAATCCCTGCTGTATGGAAATCAACCTAATACATTGATCAAGTTTGGAAATATAGATTATATACACAGAAAACTAGCAGAGTTACACCAAAATGTCTATTAATATCTGTTTTTTCCTTCTCTCTCTTCCTCCTTTCTCCATTCTTTTCTTTGTCTCACTTATTTTTAGTAACTTAGTTTTTCTTACTTAGTAATACAATGGAACATTATCCCCTATCTTCAAATATTCTTGATTGACACTTGTACCAAGAGCACACTCTGCAGGTAAATAATATTTGTATTAATGGTGTGTCCTTTTCTTTGCTGTGCCTTCTTATTAGGCAAATAAAGTAATAATACTGTGTTTCAGCTTTTGTCCTAGTCTTTTTTTTTTTTTTTTGCTTTTTTGTAAAATCGGAATGATAGTTAATATTTTATTTGGCTAGTGCATACAGAAAATGCTTACAGTAATGTTTTAATGTTTATCACATAGCAAACTGCTGTTGAAGCTGTTGTTATTATTGGTATGTGATTAATGTCATTATTGATAACATCTATATTTCATAATAGGAATGAATGCATAATTGAGTATGGTGCTATAGGTTTTAAATTTTTAGTTTTATTTTACTTTATGTTTTTAAGACAGGGTCTTGTATTGAAATTCAAGGTGACCTGGAACTCATTATGTAGCCCAGGCTGGTCTTGAATTTGGGGAAAATCTTCCTGCCTCAGCTTTCTGATTCTTGGGATTATAGATATGAGCTACCATACCCAGTTACGGCTGATATTTAGATTGTTTCTTTATTTCTCTCTGTTTTGCAAGCAATATATTAGTAAATGTTTTTATAGCTAAATTTTGGGGGAGGGAGCTGATCCACAACTATTTTCCAAGAGTAAATTACCAGGTGCATCATTGCTAGATCAAAGAACTTAAATACTTAAATTTTAAGTATTGACAGCATATTGCCAAATTTCCTTTTAGTTTGATTGCTTCAATTTAATTTATGTCAGTGGCATACGAAAATAAGTGTTCATTTCAACTTTGCTTCTGTTTTGGATATAATCACCATGTATATGTGCATGTCATATATGTATATTATATGTGTATGCACACATGCCCTTGCCATTTGCATTGGTAAAACGCATAACATTTTTTTCTCCTGATGTTTTATGACTCAGTCTTTGAAGAGTAGAGATGAACTGCTTCACAAGGAAGGGTTAAAGCAGGAGTTGTCTCTCTGGGTACTTGCTGGTTTTGTGTGCTCACATACTTAGCAGGCAGATCACAGAAATTTAGCCTGTGAGCCCTGTGCCTTTGAGGATCAAGGGTGCGCTGTGCTGATTAATCTGCCCACAGATAAGCTTGGTCCTGTAAAGGTGGAATTGTGCTATGAATAAAATCAGTGATGACTTTACATGGTTCCTGGAGATCAGACTCAGGTCTCCAGGCTTTTCTAGAAAAGCCACTCACCAGACCCTGATTTCTATTTAAATTTCAGATCTTATTGAAGGGTACATCCAGGAGTTCTTTGTTGTTTATTGTTTTTTGTTTTTGTTTTTTTAGAATGGGTCAGTTCAGAAAAATAAAACAATCTCATATTTTAAATTTAAGACTGGCTTTAAATTACTATTTTTTCAAAAGCATGGAAACACTCTCCTTTTCAATATGGCTCCCCTAAGCAAACCGAGGAAAATATTACACTCCTGTCAGGAGACATGCTGATGTTGATTTAATCTAATTCTGTGTTTTGCCTCAGATAAAATATCCAGGAGCTGATATGGATGTCACGTTGTCTGCGCCTTCCTTTTGCCGTCAAATTAGTCCTGAGGAATTTGAATACCAAAGGGCGTATGGCTCTCAGGAGCCCTTGGCAGCCTTGCTGGAAGAAGTCATAGCAGATGCCAAACTCTCCAACAAGGAGAAGAAGAAGAAGCTGAAGCAGGTGATGAGATGAGGCTGCTCCTCAGAAGGCATCTCCCTCTTCTCCGTTCTCTGGTTGTTTCTTCCTATTACTCTTTCTTCATGGGCCTCACATAAATCTCATTTGGGTTCTTTGTTGCAGTACATGGGTGGTTGGTACACTGCAGTCATTTTCCCAGTTCTATCATTTTTACATCGAGTACTTCTCTTGTGAGATAGGTTCTAATATTTGTCATCTGTTTTGCTACCTGGCATGATATGATTTATCCAACAATTACTGCAAATGTACTTCTCTCCACTGAGACACCTAGCAGAAACTGTTACTTTCAGATAGGCAGTATCAGCACGACTTCTTGCCTCAGACCCCACTAAGTGTTCCAGTTAGCCAAACCCAGTTCCTCTTGAGGGAGGCAACAGAGCTGAGGGACTTAGAGAACAGTTTTCACTCAGAAAAGGTACACTGCATCACTTCTTCACTGCATCACTTAGGTTTTGTCACTGTGAAAGAAAGACTAAAAGAAGCAACCTAAGGGGTGGGGAAGGTTTCATTGGCTCCCAGTATCAGAGGATATATCATTGTAGCAGATAAGGGATGATGGGGAAATTTAGGGTGTGGTAACATGAACATTCGTAGAGACTGTTCATGTCACCATGGGCCAGAGAGCATCTGTGGAAATGGCAGGGTAGTATACCTGCAGGGATCTGCTTCCAGGGATTCACTTCCTCTAGCCAGGCTCTGCTTCCAAGTTTTCAAGACCTCCCAAAGTCACTGGGAATCAAGTATTGGAAGCATGGCACCAGGAGGACATTTGCAATGCCAGCCTTATTTTGACTATCCTTAAAGTCTGGTCTTCACTCAGGTGGATGATATCTGGTTCTCTTTTCATTTATTTTTTTATTTTTTCAGACAGAGTCTCACTCTGTAGCCCAGGTCAGCCTTGGCTTAGCCATCCTCTCATCTCTGCTTGTGGAGTGCTAGAAATAGAAGTGGTACCTTGCCACTCTCTTGGTTTGTGTACATTACTACACAGCTGGGTTCCTAGACACAGCATACATGGGATTGTTCCCTGAATTTGGGTTCTGGGCCTCTTTCTCATTTTTCTTTCTGATAATGTTGGAGAAGTATTGAGTATTGAATATCTAAGGAAGAATACATTACCTTCCTTTAAATATCCTGTGGATAATACCTCCAGCATGTTCTCTTTTGTTGGGTAGAAGCTGGCCAAGCTGAGTTGGAGAAGCAGAGAGATGGTAAAACATAGTTGGGCCAGACTTTCTTTAATTGTGTAGAATGAAAGTTATTTTCAATTCAGACTTAATTGTGGCTGGTTTTCACAGTGAGGTCTAGATATAGTTGACAGTGAGAACATTTTGAGCGATTTGATTACAAGGACAATTTCATCTGAAGATGGGATCAAAGGAAAGATGAGGTAGAGCTGTGGGCATCAGCATCAAATAATTCAACGAGAGTAAAGGAAAGCAGAGATCAAGAACTCTTAAAATTTGACTGTTTGATTTTTGTGGCTTTTTTGTGCCTTTTTTTTTGGACTCATATTGGACTCCTGTTCAGTTTCAGAAATCTTACCCTGAAGTCTACCAGGAACGATTTCCTACCCCAGAAAGTGAAGCACTTCTCTTTCCTGAAAAACCCAAGCCCAAACCGCAGCTGTTCATGTGGGCGCTGAGGAAGCCTTTCCAACCATTTCAGAGAACAAGAAGTTTCCGGATGTGATACAGTGACCGAGTTTTAGAGACCTCAGTGGTAGAGACAGTTTTGAGTCAGTCAAGGTTGAAGAATGCCAAGTCATAAACTACTGAAATAATGGAGTTTCAGAGAATCAGTCAGGTGATCTGACTCTTAAAATGTTGAGCCGTTGTCAGTATTTTTATAAATCTCAATGCTGTTTTTAGAGATGTACAAATCAATGGATGGTTACAAGCCAAGTGTACATGGTGGTGTAACAGTCTTGGGATTGTTACAAAATTCCCTTCCTTCTGTTTGTTGTTTTCCATGGTGTGTAAAGTTCTTGTGTGTGTTTTCTACTCACTGACACCTCTGGTGAAACCAAGCCTACGATTAATGTATATACTTGAATAAGAACCACACTGGGTGCTGTTACTGTGGTGGCATTGACTCAGTTGCCAATTGTGATTTCTCCTATGTGAATCCCATTTTGTTGTTGTTGTGCAAAAGTCCCTACTGTCTTGCATTGTGATGGTAGTGCCTTTTATTGCAGATTTGTCAGTTGCTGTGAGATTTACTACCATCGGCTCGTTGATGACCCATATATCAGTCTGCATGTGCCTATATGTGGAGTAGATTTGCATCTGCCACAGTCATGTAATTTGAGTCTTAGCTAAAGACGGACGGTTGAGCAGGATAAATTCTTTGGATTCCCTTAGACCTGTAAATCTAAATTAAATCTTTGTTTGCTTTTATGAAAAGTATAAATGGTAAGATGAAATTACTTCCTTTCTGAATATATTTTCTCAGCTTCTTCATCCTTTTGAAAGTAAATGGAATGTAAATAAATACTGAGTTTTTTTTTAATATGATGCCTCGTGTTTTTCTTTCTTTTTTTAATATTACCCCTAGTGTTTTTCTTTCTTTCTATCTTTCTTTTTTTTTTTCAGATAAGTTAGGAGCCTCCTCAAATGCCTTTGCCAATATTTTCACATCACTCTGTGCTTCAGAAAGTTGTTTTATTTTGGCTTTTGTATTGGTTTCAAGAAAGTGCCCTCCCACCCCACCTCCATGTTTGTCTGCTTCTGTCTCCCTCTCCTTTCCTTTTTCATCTTCTTCCCCGTCTTCTCCCTTCTCTGTCTTTTGTTTCTTCTGTAAAATAGTGGAGCCTCTGAAATACGCTGAGAGTAATGGCCCTGAGCTAACTGTGCCCTTGAGATCTGCCCCGTTCTGCTGTGGCAGACTGTCTTCTGTAGTCAACAGTTTTCACCCATTTAAAAATAGGTAAGTATCCCTGCTGGCCTGAGACCTCTTCCAAGTATTTAATGTGAAGGTGAGTTTTAGAGTTTCAGTGTTCTTCGACTCTGACATTTTGTTGAAGTCAAGTATAGTTCTGTTTTCTTCTTACTCTTACTCTGGTGGAGAACCCCTTTGCTGCTTTTGGAAGTGTGTGTGATTATTTCTTGAAACATGTATAAAGTACTTAGGGAAGCACCATCAACCAAGTATACAACAGAAGCTAGGTAGCAACAATTTTTCTAAGTGGTTATACCATTAACACATGCATCACCAGTGTGCCAGTTACTTTTAGCATTTTCACCAGTGCTTACTTTGTTGGGTTTGAATTGCCAATGTGTAAGTAAATACTGGTTTCTGATTTTGGTTTCACTCTGATTTTAACATAACTGTACATCTTTCCATAGTTTTAGCCTTTATATTGTTTTAAAAATCTAACTACTACTCATTTATGTTCATATACATACCATGATTTAGATTGTTGAACCTATAAGTCATTTTGGTGGTTATTACTGTATTTGCAATTATACTGGCTACTTTTTGTCAGCTTGATATAATCAAGACTTACCTGGGAAGAGGGAAACTGAATTGAGGATTTGCCTCCAACAGTTGTCCTGTGGGGGCATTTTTTTTTTTTTTTTTTGATTGACAATTGGTATGGGAGGGCCCAGTTCACTGTAGGTGCCCGCCCTCCACCCCAGCAGGTGGTTGTATAAGAAAGCAGATAGAACAAGTCATAGAGAGGAAGGAAGCCAGTAAGCAGCACACCTCTGGTCTATGTGTCAGTTCCTGCCTCCAGGTTCCTGCCCTGACTTCCCTTTCTGGGGGACTGTCTCCAGGAAGTATAAGTGAACCCTTTTCTCCCCAAGTTGTTTTGACCTGCTGTTTATCACAGCAGCAGAGGAGTGAATGAAGACACTGATAGTAAGAGCCAAAAGCCCTCCATTAGTTTTTGATATATGAAAATGTTTAATTTTTTAAAAGGTTTATGTGCCTGCTTCTAAGTATTTAATACTTTGAAAAATGTTAGTATCAGCATTTGTTTTGCTTCTATTACAAATATCTTGAAGCTTTCTTTTCTTTTACTTGTATGGATTAGAAAGCTGAGTTTTGTTTACTGTTGTGGTCACTGTTGTGGTCAGTAGCCTTGCTGTACTTTCTTACTAATTTTAAATATTTAGTGTGATATTTAGTCTTTGTTTGATTTTCTACATTTCCTACATATCAGCAAACAATGACTTTGCAGTTTTCTGTATCTTTACTATTTCCAGTACTCCTTATTTTTTGATACTTAATTTTGAAAATAGTTACGTTTGTTTCTTTGTGGGTTGTGTGTATTTGTGGTGTGTATGTGTGTGTTTGAGATAGCATCTTGCTATGTAGCCAAGGCTAGCCTTGAGTTTGAGACCTTCTTGCTTTTATTTTATTTTATTTTATTTTGTTAGTTTTAATTAGGAACAAGCTTGCTTCACATGCCAATCCCTTCTCCCTCTCCCTCCCCTCCCCCACAGCCCCTTTTCCCCCTCTCCTCCCCAGGGAGGGTAGGGTCCTCCACTGGGGCTCCCCAAAGTCCACCACATCATTCTGGGCTGGGCCTAGGCCCTCCTCCATGTGTCCAGGCCAAGAGAGCATCCCTTCATGCTGGAATGGGCTCTCAAAGTCCTTTCTTACATCAGGGAAAAATGCTGATTCACTACCAGAGGCCTCCTCATGGACATGCACTTTGAGGAGTCTGGATCAGTTTCGTGATGGCCTCCCAGACAGCAGTCAGGGGTCCATGTGCTCCCCCTTGTTCAGCCAGCTGTTTCTGTGGGATTCACCAGCTTGATCCCTACCCCTTTGATCTTCATTCCTCCCTCTCTGCAACTAGGTTCCAGAGTTCAGTTCAGTGTATAGCTGTGGGTGTCTGCCTCTGCTTCCATCAGCTAATAGATGAGGGCTCTAGGATGACTTATAAAGTAGTCATCAGTCTCATTTTAGGGGAAGGGAGTTTAGGTTATCCTCTCCACCATTGCCTAGATTGTCAATTCGTGTCATGCTTGTAGATCTCTGGAAATCTCCCTAGTGCCAGATTTCTCCTTGGACTTATAATGGCCCCCTCTGTTATGTTATCTCTCATCCTGCTCTCCTCTATTCTTCCCCCGACTCAACCATTCTGCTTCTCCATTTCCTCCTCTCCTCTCCTCTTCTCCTCCTCTCATTCTGGCAGCTCCCTGTCCCCTACCCTCATGCTCTCAATTAGCTCAGGAGATCCTGCCACTTCCCATTCTCCAGGGTCCATGCATTTCTCTCTTAGAGTCCTTCTTGTTTCCTACTTCCTTTGGTGAAGAGGATTGTAGGCTGGTAATGCTTTGTTCTATGTCTAAAATTCATATATGAGTGAGTACATACCATGTTTGTCTTTTTGTGATTGGGTTACCTCACTCAGGATGGTTTCTTCTAGTTCCATCCATTTGCCTGCAAATTTCAAGATTCTGTAGCTTTTTCCCCCCGCTGAGTAGTACTCCATTGTGTAAATATACCACATTTTCTCTATCCATTCTTCAGTTGAGGGGCATCTAGGTTGCTTCCAGGTTCTGGCTATTACAAACAACGCTGCTACGAACATGGTTCGTAGTTGTATGAATGTGCATTCTTTGAGTCTATGCCCAAGAAAGGAATTACTGGATCTTGAGGTAGACTGATTCCCATTTTCCTGAGAAACCGCCATACTGATTTCCAAAGTGGTCTTACAAGTTGGCATTCCCACCAGCAATGGAGGAGTGATCCCCGATTGTCATTGTTATTTTTAATTTTAGCCATTCTGACAGGTGTGAGGTGGTGTCTCAGAGTTGTTTTGAGTTGCATTTCTCTGATGGCCACGGGTTTTGAATACTTTCTTAAGTGTCTTTCAGCCACTTCAGATTCCTCTGTTGAGAATTCTCTATTTAGTTTGGTACCCCATTTTTTAATTTCATTGTTTGGTGTTTTGGTGGCTAGCTTCTTGAGTTCATTGTTCATTTTGGAAATCAGTCCTCTGTCAGATGTGGGTTTGGTGAAGATTTTTTCCCATTCTGTGGGCTGTCGTTTTGTCTTACTGACTGTGTCCTTTGCCTTATAGAAGCTTCCCAGTTTCAGGAGGTCCCATTTATTAATTGTAGATCTCAATGTCTATGCTACTGGTGTTATGTTCAGGAAGCGGTCTCCTGTACCAGTTCATTCAAGGTTATCTCCCACTTTCTCTTCTGGAAGATTCAGTGTAGCTGGATTTATGTTGAGGTCTTTGAGCCATTTGGACTTAAGTTTTGTGTATGGTGACAGATATGGATCTATCTGCAATCTTCTGCATATCTGAATCCAGTTGTGCCAGGACCATTTGTTGAAGATGCTTTCTTTTTTCCATTGTATAGATTTAGCTTCTTTGTCAAAAATCAGGTGTATGGGTTAATATCTGGATCTTCAATTCAATTCCATTGGTCTACCTGTCTATTTTTGTGCCAATACCAAGCTGTTTCCAGGACTATGGCTCTATAATAGAACTTGAAATCAGGGATAGTGATGCCTCCAGAAGTTCCTTTATTGTACAGAGTTGTTTTGGCTATACTGGGTTTTTGTTTTTCCATATAAAGTTGAGTATTATTCTTTCAAGGTCTGCGAAGAACTGTGTTGGGATTTTGATGGGGATTGCGTTGAATCTGTAGATTGCTTTTGGCAAGATTGCCATTTTTACTATGTTGATTCTACCTATCCAAGATACCTATCCAAGAACATGGGAGATCTTTCCATTTTCTGGTATCTTCTTTAATTTCTTTCTTTAAAGAATCAGAGTTCTTACTATACGGGTCTTTCACGTGTTTGGTTAGCATTACCCCGAGATATTTTATGTTGTTTGTGGATATTGTGAAGGTTGATGTTTGTCTGATTTTCTCAGTTTTTGTGTTTCTGTTTATCACCTGTATATAGTAGAGCTACTGATTTTTTTGAGTTAATTTTGTATCCTGCTACTTTTCTGAAGGTGTTTATCAGCTGTAGGAGTTCCCTGGTAGAGTTTTTTGGGTCACTTATGTGGAGTATCATATCATCTGCAAATAGTGAAAGTTTGACTTCTTCCTTTCCAATTTTTATCCCCTTGATACAAATTGTATCCCTTTTCTTGTCTTATTGCTCTAGCTAGAACTTCAAGTACAATATTGAAGAGTTATGGAGAGAGTGGACAGCCTTGTCTTGTCCCTGATTTTAGAGGAATTGCTTTGAGTTTCTCTCCATGTAGTTTGATGTTGGCTGGTGGTTTGCTGTTTATTCCTTTTATCATATTTAGATATGTTCCTGTTATTCCTTTTCTCTCCAAGATCTTTATCATGAAGGGATGCTGGATTTTGTCAAAGGCTTTTTTCAGTATCTAGTGAGATGATCATGTGGTTTTTCTTTTTCAGTTTTTTTATATGGTGGATTACATTGATGGATTTTTGTATGTTGAACCATCCTTGCATCCCTGGGATGAAGCCTATTGATCATGGTGGATGATTTTTCTGATATGTTCTTGGATTTGATTCGCCAATATTTTATTGAGTATTTTTGCATCGATGTTCATGAGGGA